AACAGGGTCAAGTGGCCATGAACTGAAACCTCTGTAACCATGAGACAAAATAAACGTTTCCCTCTTTAATTTGATTTATCTCAAGCATTTTGTCACAGGAATGGAAAGCTGACTAATACACTCCTAAGGGTTTCAGACCTTTATGTTCACCTATTCATTAAATGTCTTGAACTGAATATCTTGAAACTCTCCAGTTCCCTATGTTCACAATCCAAATTCAATAACCTTACCCCCTTTCAGCCCCCCTATATTCCCAATTTTAAATCTGCAGTCAGTTATTTGGGAAACCTCAGGACCACCTTTGATTTATACCCCCAATCCTCCAATCCTCTATGTTCATTTGGTCACAACATCCCAATGATTCTCTCTCCTGAGTTTTTCTTGAATCCTATTATGTCATCCAGCACTTTCTCTCTTCATTTCAGGTTCTTTTAGGTAAAAATCTGAACTGTGGAGGGTGAAGCCTTGCTTTATTTGCACGACTTCAGACTAGTTACTTACCCTGCTGTGCCTCAGTTTCCTGATGTTGTTATATGGGAATTATAAATGTACCCTTATGAATTATCGAAAGGACTAATTACACAAAGCAATTGAAAGAGCTGGTGGCATACAGTAAGGATTCAATATTACCATCATGCATTCCTGTATATTACCATATTATCATTATTATTACAATGTAAACACTCTATGGGCCTTTACTATGTTATTCCTTCTAAGTCTTAAACTTTTTTTAAAATTAACTCTTACATAGTCTTCATTAAAAGACAAACAAACAAAAACCAAAACAAACAAAAAAAAGCTCCTCTGGTTGAAATGAACTCAAGGAATGTTCCTGGTGCTGGCTTTTGTGGGTACCTGGCTGTGGCTCAGGAGGCACTCTACTGGAGACCTGGCCTCCACAGAGGTTTATCCATCAATCTTACAGTCTAAGCAGAGATCTTCTGAACCACAAATCTGACTGTGTCATCTTTCTGTTTAAAGGCCTTCTGGGACCTTAGCATCATGTTCAACATTGCAATGAGCCACTGATGCATGTGGTGGGGAGAAAGTTAGGGCATGGCTCAAAGACATGCTTACCCAAACTTATGACCATTTCAGAAGAAGTAACTGCAGTTTGGATCAGAGGCATATGATCCAATACTTTTGGATTACTTGTATTGGTGCTTTTAGTTTGGTGTTTTGTTGTTACTATTACTACATTTGTGGCCTTAGTTGAAGAAACTCAGATCCCTGGTCCTTGGTGTATCTGTATCTCTACTGACATGTGCAGACATAGGTTGGTCCTGACTGAATACAAACACCTCTCTCAACTCCATCAATGCTCCTCTCCCTGCATCTGGAAAAACTCTCTCCTCTTCATAAGCATGGCTGACAATCAGTGTAGTGTGCTTCTATCAAGGAAGTCACTGAAGTCCTCGGGAAAATTAAATATGAAAAGCATCAGGTTCTGGGGGCTTTAAAACCTTGGTGAACACCTACAAACACTCTCAAGAATCTTAAGGAAGAGTTCACAGAGGAGGTATTTGAACTCGATCTTATGAACAGCCATTTAACCAGGCCAGGGATTAAAGGGATTACAGACTGAACTGAATGCTCCAAATTCTATGATTTTGTTTGTTTATTTATTTACTTTTAAACACATTGCCCTTTACACATGGGAGCCTAGTTGCAGACAGTAAGGATACACTGAACCCCATCACCGGTCCCTGCTGTTGGCCTGATTCTTGCTGAGCTCCCCAAGGAAACAGTGCTGGGATCTCACACTGAGTCCAAAGATGGGAAAATTTGTGCCCTAGTCTTGATGTTTCCTTCCAGGGAAGGAAGCTTTAAGGTGCCACACCTCAGGCCTCTCTCTCCCCTCTCTGCTTGCTTTGCTTACCCCAGCACTGTCTTCTCCTTGGGGGAGAACTCCCTCAGGGAGCAGGGAGATGCTCAACCTCTGGGGAACCCTCAGCCTCAGCTGGCCCAACCTGATCCAGCTGTGCCAGGGCCTATGCTTGGGACTCAGGCTGCAGGTCTTTTTCGCTCTTACCACCAAGTCCCAGCCTTTGACTTATTTACCCAAAAAAGGCTGATATTTTATCTTCCTCCAGCCACTCCTTTGTTTTTTCAATCTGTTCAGAATCCGGGTGGAGAAATACAGCACTAGTTAATAGGTCCCTTAAGGATTAGGAGACAGAACAATACCAGAGTCTCTAAGATGCAGATCTCAACAGCAGAGGCACATACAACAGAGAGTTCCTGAGCAGGAATCCTGCAGCAAGGGTCCTAAGGTTCCTCCTCAGCCCACTTCATACTTATCTTGATTCTTAATTCCCCAGATGTCCACATTAAAAGGCAGGGACCCCAAAGAAAATGGCCACTGGAAATCCAAATGGTGGGGTACCAACCTGGCAACTGAGACATATTTTAAAGTCCATTTGTTGCTGCTTGGTTTTCCTTTCAAAAATCAGTCTTATCCGAAATTCCGCCACTGGATTTTCTTTTTGTACAACATTATTTTATGCTAACCTTGCTAAATGAAATAGAATTTTCTTTTTCACACCTTGAAGCTATAAGAAAATTTAATTAAAAGGGACAGTAATTTATAAAATAGTTTAATATTTATGACTAGATGAATGATATATTGCTTACTAATTTGTTATGTGCCCAAAGTCAGCAAGTCTGAGGGTTTGGTTGATGGTGCTGTTCATTAAAACATGAGAACTAAGTGCTGTAGCAAGATAACCAAACTTGTTCAGAATAGCTCTTCACTTAAATACTGCTAGATACTCTGCGATAACCAGACCTCACATGCAATGTAAATTTCCTTTTTAAGTCATTTTCAACATCTTAAAGGCAATTTCACCAACTCCAAAATCCCTCTTAAGATTAACTTTTTGATTAAATCTCATTTTCATGTTTAAAGGTCCATTTGTCGGCCAGCTGGAGGATTTTCTTTCTTTTTTCTTTTCTTTCATTCTTTCTTTCTTTTTTCTTTTCTTTTTTTTAAAGCAGTTGACAACTGCCCAGCAACAGCAGCCTGTGTTTGCAGTCACTATTTTGGGCTACATCACATGTCACTTACATAACCTTGTTTAACTGCTCTTGAACTGGTTCAAACAACCTGGGAAACAGATCAGGGCAGTCTGGCAAATTCCCGCATTGCAGATTCTGATGGGCGAGTTCCCATCCCCCACCCCTATCTTATAGTGTTGCACAGTGAGTACCAGGGTGTCCAAGGAGAACTGGTTATTCATTGTTAGAGCCAACTAAAACATTTGATAATTAACTTCCTCTGCTCAGTTAAAACCAGTCCGGTCTGCCCACAATAAACCAATGAACAATGATCTCCTGCTGCTGAGGTTTATGAGTGAGCCTGGATTAACATGCTTTCAAATGCCAGCAGGCGAAAAGAATCAACTGGAGTATAGCTTGCCTTTGCCACCTTCAAACACCCATCTTTTCAAGTGATGTTTTTAGGATACTAAGATTTTAATTTAGAAATCAGATTGGACTTATTTATCCCCCCCCCCCACGGTGTTTCAGAAGTTTTTTCCAGGAGAGGTAAGCACGAAATTCCTAGATAAACATTTTTTTTCTTGGAGTGAAACGTATTTGTTGGTCATTACTAAAAAAATTATGTATCTATACATATCTATACATTATATATCCATACCCACACGTACATGTGTATATCTGCTCATAGTCAGTCATGACTTAAATTTTAAGCATATTTTAGTAAAAGATAATCAAAGGAAATACATATAAAAATCCCAGTGCTATAAGATTCGAACACGGAGAAACATTTCTTATGATATGCAATAAGACAAGTAAATTAGCAGCATGGAACAAGAAACCTTTTTTTCGGGGGAGTGTGACTTACGTGTTACACACGTTTAGTACTAGGAATTTAACATAGCTGTACTTCACTATGCAAAAACATCTGTTATCTAGATAAACTAATAAGTTATTCAGGGCAGTGGGCAGGGAACCAACATTTGTTGAATTCCTATTATGTGACAGGTGCTTTACCAATCATACAACTGAATCCTTATTTGAAAAATCCTAAGAGAGGAACCTGATGAAATTGGCAAAATGGGAATAGAATGACCAATTAAGACCCACTCAGAGGCTAAATCACGTGACTAGCTTAGCTGGGATTCATGCTCAGACCTCTATCCCAGCAGCTAATCTATTGGTCCACATCAGTCCATACATCTTAGAAATGTCGTTTAGACACTTAAACCTAGAGGGAATAAATGGTGCAGAAGCAATCTGTGAAAGATGTGTTTAGGCTACCTTACAAAGATCGCCTGCTCTGACGAGGGAAAAGCAAGTCATGAATTGAGGTGTCCCTCTGATTCCAAAGTCATCATACATAGGATGCCAAACTTGCATCCTGCTGCATACCTCCCTTTTTCACCTCATCAGAAAGTACCTCTAAACTCTGGATTTCAAAGCAGACATGTGCACAGTACTGCAGGAGTGGAAAAATCCTGTGTGCTGGGTTCCGAGGAATCAAATTTCATTCATTTTGCCCAACCAGCAAATCCCGCAAGATCTCAAAAGTAGAAATGAGGGCAGGATAGAGAGAAGGGACTCCTGCTCAGCCTCTCTGGACTCAAGCTACTTGTTACATTTTGAAGGTATTAACAGAGTTTGGTGGGTCCTTATTTGCCCTCTAACACACAGCCTGGTTTCTGAATACCAGTATAGCTCCAGACTTAAATGAACCCTAGATCAGAGCTGATATTGGTAACAAGGGACAACTATCATAAACTTCTACCAACAAACTAAATTTTTGCTAGGAAAGAAATTATGAAACCAGTTGATAGGAGATTGTTTGCACATACATACTGAATTAGGCTAGTGTGGGGTATGTAATATAATGTATGCCCATGGTATGAAACTCAAGAGGCACTGTGGGCCACGTGGTCAAAAAGCTTCCTCTCCCTTAACTACCTAGTTCCCTTCTTGCAAGGCAACCACTGCTATCAATTTCTCTGTATCCTTGCAAAGGCTTTTCTAGGGTACATTTTTCAGCCACAGTAAATATGTTCTGTTTGTGGAATGAGCATTATTAATTCAAAACGTTGGCTTGTCCTTTTATTAATTCAGCAGATAATTATTGGGTGGCTATTACATGCCAGTGACTGTGATCAGCACTGGGCGGAGAGGTGAACAGGATGAGATCCCTGTCCTTGAGGGACTCCTGCTCTAGCGTGAGAAAAGAGGCTCCTCAACAAATTAAACCCTGGGGCAAGAAAGAACAGCACTGGTATGTGCGCCCCAAGAACACGGAAGAGGAAGGGACTCTCTTTGCCACAGAAGTCAGAAAAGGCTACAGAGAAGAAAGAACATCAGGTTTGTGTTTTAAAGAATGTTTGTTGGGTGGAAAGGGTGTTGGGGGAGTTTTCTCAACAAAGAAACAACCTATTTAACAAATGAGCGTCATCAGGAGACATCCTATGTTCTGGGATGGGTGAGTTTGGTGTGACTGGAACACAGAGGGTGCAGGTGAGGAGGGAGCAGCCACTGAGACTGAGGACTTGCTGTGCTCTGCTGCATGGTCTGTTGAGGTCAGTCCAGGTCTAATTTGTGTTGCAGGAAGTTCACTCTGGCAGCTTGATGGCAGATTTCATGGAACAATGGCAAAGGGACTGGTGAAGTTCAGAAGCCAAACCATTCTTTCCAAAGAAGGTAGTTAGCAGGTAATTTCCAACTAATCATCGTCCTCTTTGTTATTCTTTAGCCCCCAACCTTGTCTTCCCATGTCTTAAATGCCTTGACATCCATTCATTATCCAAGCAAGAAAGGCTGGACCCATCCTAAACCACTTATTTCTGGTTTTCCATGGAAATGGCCCACGCTTCTCTAATTTTATAGCTCCAAGTTGTTGACCTGGGCCTCATTGGTCTCTTCACTGTCTCAAACGAGCAGATAATGTGGACGCTGGAGAAAAGAACGGCAGCCTCAGAGCTATCTCCTAATTGGCTTTCACATCCAACAATTTTCCCTTTTTATCTGATGATTCTCAATAGAACTGAATCATAATTTCAGTTTGTGTAAACCAAAGTTCCTGTGCTTATGAGGGGGGGGGGAATGATACAAAAGGCAAACCAGCATATGCTAGAACTTTGAATAAAGTTACTTTACCACTTGAAGTTGATGATTAGAAACTGATAAGGTAATGGAAAACTAACATACATTCTTCACAAACTACCTGAGATCATTAACCTACAAGGAGGAAAGGTTTATTTTGGGTCGGTTTCAGGGGCGCTGCTCCATGGTTGCCTGCCTCTGTTGCTTGGGGCTTGTGGCGGCACAGTACCTGGTAGGGAGCACATGGGAGAGCCACTGTCACCTCATGGCAGCCAGGAAGCAAAGAGAGAGACACAAAGGGCCAAGGTTCCACTGTCTCCTTCAAGAGCAGGCCCCTTCTGACCTAATTTCCTCTCTCACAGGTGCCACCTCTTAAAATCCCACCGCCTCCCCATAGCACCACAGGCTAGGGATTGAGCCTTCAACATACGGGGCTTTCAGGGACAGTCCAGGTCCAAACTATGGGAGACAGGGTGGAAGGAAGAAGAATGCGGGAAACTGGGCACGCTTGTCTCTGCGCTGAGAAACACGGCAGGTAGTCTGCTGAGAATCAGAAAGGAAGCGGTGGGTGAGGAACCAGATCATGTGCGTGGGGTTGCCATAGAAATATGATAGACCACAGGAGATGGAGGTAGAGAGGACGCATCCATGTTGAGTGGGAACTCTCCTCTAGGCCATGAGGCTGGGGAGTGACATTCTTACTGCAGTTAATATTTATGATAGCCCTTTCAAAAGGCAATGTCATCCTTTGTCCTAACCAAAGAAATAAGTAGCTTTCTGTGTTGCTTCACCTGGCCCGTGGTGATGGTAGGATTTGAACCCAGTCTGACAAAAGACCAGGCTCACAAAAGGCACCTGGCAAGTCACAATGAAATCTTAACACGGCAGGAAACACCTAGTGCTTGCTTTCTAAAAAGACTGTGCACATCTACATTTTAACCGTCCACATTTGATCATTTGACTATATTGCTTAAAATAAAAAAAAATTCCATCTACGAAATAACTTATTTCTTATTTATAGCTGAAACTCAGGACAAGAAAGGCTTCTGATGCAGTTTGTAATTGGCTCACTGTGGGTGACATTCAGACTGTCACCACTGGTTAGGTAGCAGAGTAAACCATTAGCCTTAGGTTTTCTCATCTAGAGATTCACAAAACTTATCTCATGGGTTGGGGAGCTTATAAAGATTAGATGCAACCATATATATCTCATGGGTTTGTGGGGGATTATAAAGATTAAATACAACCATATATTTAAAATGCAGAACTCCACTTCTGGAATGCACCAGGTGCTCAACAAACCACTTCCCCTTCCCTTGGGTCATGGCCTGGGAGATGGGCAAGCACCTTAGTGCACAAGCAGAACACTGTTTCTGGAGCACTGTTTGGACCTTGGCTTCCCCTCTGACTGACTGCCAGCGCTGGGGCTGGTCCACCTCACCAAGCTTTAGTATCTCCATCTGCAAAATAGGCACAGGAATGGCAACTTTCCTGTACAGGTGTATTTAGCCCTGTCCTGGCCAATCCCAACTGTGGACATGAGGATCTACTCCCTCCATGCCAGACATGGGATCTCAGCATCAAGTTCTTTTTTCCAGTAATTAGGCTTGTATGTTAGGCTGTTTCTGTTACCAAGGCTCATGCCTCTTCCTCCCACACCCATCCCCTGCCTTGTTGTCTGCAGAGCACACCAACTCTTGCTGGAAACATTCTTAATACTCTGACTCCCCCCAAACCTCAGCCCCACACCTGGGGTTCTGACATCTGTCTTTCTTAAAAGCCCACCTGCCTCTGGAGACTTCTAAATGTGGTCCTCCTCCTGCACTCAAAAGACTCTATGTCCTGCAGAGCCCAGGGGTTTGGGGGTCCTACCTCCTGGGCTATATTTTCTCATAACAACTGTGTCCACACCCATTTACTGTACCACTTCATGACTGAGTCTGATTCACATCTCAGGCTTTTCCAATTTGTACTACCATTAAAGCATTTCCACAGAAATAGTTCCTTTCCTTAAATTATTATCACCAGTTATCTTAAATGAAAGAAAATTCAAGAGATCAATAATAGCTAGTTTATTTGCAATTATATTTTTTCCTTATGTCAGTTTGTCATGAAGGACATGGAAAAGTTACTTTCTTTGACCATTAATAAAGTATAAAGATCCACAACTGATTGCCTTACTATCATTGCAATGGGTTGTAAAGAGGAAGACACCTTCATTTCAGTGGCCCACATAAACAGAAGTTTATCACTGAGGTTTAGTTCACTAGGAGACGATAAATCATCCTGGGATGGTTGCTTCTAGCCCTTATCTTCTAGCCTGTGCACTCCTCTGTTCTTCCAGGTCTCCAATCGACAGGTCCTATCTAGACTTAGGTCTTTGGTTGGTCTTGCCTAGGGTTAGAAATTTCTAGAATGTTTCAGCCCCAATTATCCCTTTCCTCCATCCATGATGCTGGCCTGAAGAGTTTGCTTAGTATTTCTCCCAACTCTATCTGCCCTTGTTAGAGAGCAATGCTGTCTGGCCATGCAGGAGTCTCTCAGGACCAAGGGTCCCTGTTGAGCCCTAGGGTATGTGTCAAGGAGGTCCTTCCATTCTGCACTCTCCTCTCCTGGAAGAGGGTCTGTTTGGTGAGAGTCTACAGATCAAATACTTTCTGCTAATGGAGAATGAGGCGGGCAGAGAAAGGCCTGCCTTGGTGTTGACACTTCATTAACTCTGGATTTCCAATACCCTCTCCAGTTGGAACTAGATGCAACCTAGTGGATTTTGACAAGGTAATTAATTTTGCCACTTGTCAGTCAGTGTTCCTTGTGCCTACTTCTAAGGGGAGAAAAAAAGTTGTGGTTTGAGGTAAGGTTGGGCTTCTTTCCCCCATCTCAAGTTTCCTTCCTGGGTACCTCTCTTATACTCCTGGTTTGACCTTACTAGCCCCTTGCCCCCTTATCCCTGCAACTTACAATAATTATTTAAGCTTCTCAAACCATGAATATAACTCCAACAAGCCAACTGTCCACCTGGATCTTCATTTGCTACATCATCTTGGAGGGTCCAGGCCAACCACTCATGTAAACTGTGACTGGAAATCGCCATGCCCCTTTGACTCATTCCCGATTGTCCTAAAATTAGTTATAAGTACAATACCATGCCACAGAATGGTGAATGAAGAAATTCTGAGATGTAACAATTATAATACAATTAGAATGTGTTTTTGAAGTCTTTCCTATCCCCAAGTATCAATACATTATTGTTCCTAGTACTTTAGGCATTTTCACATATTTCTCTATAATCTGTAGATTATTAACTGGCTGGATCATCTGTAAAATGTAGAGATGAGATTAGATTATCTCTGTGGTCCCTTCCCTCTATGCCTTTGCTTCTGTGGTCCTGAGAAGAGGAAACGGTGAAGAAAAGTAATCCTTAGGATGACAAGGCCATCACCAGGTGATACAGTCCTGTCCTGTGGTCTGTGTAAATATACCCTGTACCTGGTCAAGCCCAACCAAGAGCAAACTGCTAATGGCCAGGGAGAGGAAGCTGTAATCACTGTCCTTATGCCATGTCAGAGTCTTTGAATTACATCTTGATTAAAGGAATTCAAAAGCAGTCACTGTGGCCTTTGATGAGAAAGGCAGTCAAAGATAAGGGGAATTGCCTTTTAAAAAAACAGTTCCAGGGAAATATCCTGGAGATAAAAACAGAGAAACATAAGATTGTGTATATTCACACACATCTTTTAAATAGCTCCAACACTGTTGAGAGCTAAACAGTAATCACACTAGAATCTTAAAAAAGATGTAGAATTGTTCATTATGTATTCCAAGTTAAGATGAAAAATGCAGAAATGAGAGGTTCACTCTACTCTTTCCCTCTGCTCAATCCAGTCCTATCAGTTTTTTTTTTTAAGGAGGTTACTTATGTATGAATTTTTATGTTACAATTATGAACGTGAAAAAAAAAGTATTGGGAAAAAGTCTATTAGTAATATTTTTAAGTAAAAAAAATTAAAGGAGATCATTATACTTGATCAGCTGTGCCTTCTCTGGAAGAATATTAAAGAAGTACTTGGTTAACACCTCAGATCAAGTTACATGAAATAATGTGCCTTATGAAGCAGGATAGAGATAAACAAAATACAGCTTGTCGGCCAAAAATAGCCTAGTTTTTCCCGGCTCTGCATTCCATCTGTCAAAACAAGGTAGATGGCATTCATCAGATACCAGCACTGGTATATAGTTGGACTGATCCAATCATTTTCTGATGGACTTAGTTTTATCATCCACAATAATAATCAACCATCAGTTAATGGAATTTGCATGAATATGTACATAAAGGAGCCTCTGGCCATTCTTCCTTCCCTTCTGGAAACTGAGGTCAGAAACGTTCACATCCTCTCTACTCAACTCTAAGAGCTTGACTTAACTCTTCTTAAAATCTTCCCTGATCTTCCTCCTCTCTTGGGAAACATCCCCACCCTTCATAAAAACTTCAGGGACCCAGCTAACAATGGCTGAACACTATTACGAGTTGGGCACAGCATTACCTTAATTAAGCTTTGCCAGATACCATAAGCTATTAAATCATTCTCATTGCCTGGTGGTGTTACTG